CAGTCCTCCATAAAATGCGCTGCACACATCTGAATATTTGGGTTGAACTGTTCTGGAACAGTGTTGCCACATGTGACGACCCCGGGCTGGACTCGGCTGGACCCCGGAAGGAAAAATTGAAATCGCATCATATGACCCCTTTAAAAACATATTTTTATTTACAAATACAATGTTAAAGATTAAATTGTGACAATATTTCACAATATTACTGTTTTATTGTAGTTTTGATTAAATAAATGCATTACATTCTCATCAGACTTCTTTCAAAAAACAAAACTTACCGACCCCAAGCTTTTGAATGGTAGTTACATTTGTGTTTAATTATTATACAGTGACATGATGCAATTGTCTTTTTGTCTTCTTCTGTAAAGAGACTGATAGTAAACCAACAGCACTTGGCACATACCTGATCAGCCCTGTGACTGACTTTGCTAAAATGCTGTGTGGCTTTATGACCAGCCGCCCCATTGTCAGCCAGATGTACAACTTCCTGAGAGGCTTCAACCTGCACAGCAGCTACAATGAGAACACAGGCTTCATCGCATGGAAAGGTCTAGAACTCTACTTATACCACTGACCATTTCAAGTGTGCATTCTGTGTTTATTATATTTATTCTTCAGATGGACTATATATTATATTAGTGTTATTCCATGTGTGTGGATGTAATTTGGGGATGTCTGTCATTGTATGAAATATAACCAAGGCTGTTTATACCTAAATAGCTGATAGTGTTTGGAGTCATCCATAATATTCATGCTCTGTCTACAGACACACACCCAGATGCCTTTCCTAACACCATGACTCCAGCTGATCCTGTGCTGAGCTTAGTAGATGCTGGATTTGCCGTAAATGCAGGATTTCCTCCTTTGGTTCGCTCTCACAGACATGTGGACGTTATTCTGTCTCTAAACTACTCTTGGGAACCAGATCAGTTTAAGGTGAGGACCAGGAAGATTATATAAGTTTTGATTGAAATGCAAATATCAGGAACTTAAAAAAATAAACAATTATGCCTGTTTGTGTCCAATAGGTCATAAAGCAATCTCAGGAATACTGTGCTGATTGGAAGATTCCATTTCCAAAGATCGATTTCAAAAAGGTGGAGTCAGAGCCACTGAAGGAAGTTTACATGTTTGAGGATAAAGACAATCCGGAAGCTCCCATAGTGCTTCACTTTCCCTTGGTCAATGTCTCATTCAAGCAGTTCAAAGCTCCTGGTAAGCAATACCATCACTCTTTACATCCCATCTGCCATATTCCTAATAGGGATTACAGTGCTTCTAAGGCAGGACTGTATTTATATTCCTCAAACATGGTTAAAATGTTAATGTTATATTGTGTAAATACACATAAATATAAAATATATATTGTGTATATTTTATATTTTATATAGATTTTGTCTATATTTTTTACTATAAATATACATTTATCCATAAAAATGGACAATATACACTACTGTTCAAAAGGGATCTTTAATGCTCACCAAGGCTGCCATTTTTGATCAAAATACAGTAAAAAAGTAATATTGAGAAATTTACTGTTTAAAAATGTTTTTAATTTTAATATATTTTAAAAGCATATTTAAAACTTCACAATATTTAGCCATACTTTTGGTACATTTAAAGCACTTTTAACGGCTTAACTGCAGTATAGTGTGATTGGATATTGCTATTGTTTGGTACATCAGCTCAAATAACCAAGAATGCACTTCATTGTAAAAATGCTCATGTAAAATTGTGTATGTGTGTGGTTTAGGAGTGAAGAGGGAGGGTGAGAAGGAGCAGAAGGAGGGAGCGGTTGATGTTGAATTTAACAGTAGCACCTCCCCATATCTCACCCACAAATTGACTTACACACCAGAGGACTTCCAGAGGCTCATCAACCTCACTTCCTACAACATCCAAAACAACAAAGATGTCATTTTGAATGCGCTAAACAAAGCATTAAACCGAAACAGAGAAAGGCAAACAGGTTATGATAGCCAAGGCAAAAAGGAGAAGGCAGTTGTAGGAAAGACCAGTTCAGCGTCTACACCAAAACCAGGATCACAAAAAACATGAAAGACTGAAGAACAGTGATCTGCAGCACCGTTACTGTGAAGAAAACCTGCATCCTTAAAATGAAGTTGTCAAGAATATTATTAAATGAAAAAATTGTTTGTGATGCTATACTATTCGATATTAGCTTCACATTATTTTTTTTAAGTGGATAATAAAACAGCATCTTTGTTTCTGTCCATTTAACTTGTCACAGTCATTTCTGTCATTTCAACTCTATTTTCTTCATCAGTAATTCAAAGTGTTCTAAAAAGTGCAATAAACTTCACTTGGTTGTTGTAACTTTGGCACTATTTTGATTCTTATTTTCAACAAAAACGGTTAGAGACCACTTATCTGGCAACACAGTTAAACCTAATTAATTCATTAAAAGACTATTTTATTTTATTTTACTGACAGACAGACATTATTAGATATTAGCCCTCTGGCCAAAGACATGCCAGCCAACCTGATGTCAACAGTGCACAAAATGATTCATTTCTGATTGGCTAATTAAGCACAGTACTCTTTTTTTCTGTTTAAAGAAACACTCATGACAACAGTATTTTAACAATATCAGTAGTAGAGACATATTATGATCAAATATGAGGCAGGTTCTTGTAGTCAATATGACTCATTTACTTAAAGAAACTGAAGTTTTTTGCTGTGATTCCCTATTGTTTCATTATAGAGTATCGTTGGGGTGTGCCATATCTATGCACTGCACATCTAGACGTCACTAAATAGTTTCACTATAACACTAGGATCCTAGAGTCTTCCCTGTATTCAAAGCAGGCTTTGCAAGGTATGAGCAAATGTCAGCTATACAAACAAACCACACTACTGAAAACATCAACGGCCAGTAAATGAAACTGTTATAGATTCAGAAAAAGAGCATTCTTATGGAATTGAATGATAGGGCCTTATTCTAGATCTAGAATAAGCAGATTATCAGATAATCAGACTCTTATTTTATAACATTTTCCACATTATATGGAAGCATTTAATAAGCATACATAATCATCTGCAAAATGAGCAAATAACAACAAACAGTGCAACGTTAATGTTTATAATAGCTCAATTTTCTCAGATTAGACCATGAATCAGAAGGAGTGTGATGACTAACAGTGCATTTGAATGAAAGAAGGCTAGGCTGGTATTCATGGACATGGGAGGGTTTTCATAAACACACAACATTCCTTACAATATAACTGAAATCTTAGTTTTTTTTTTAAAGTCGAGCCTGGATGTGTCACTTTTGTTTTTATAATCAAACACAGTCCACACCAGACAAGATATGTAATGTTGGCATGTAGCCGTTTGATAACTTATCTTTTCAAATATATTTTTAGCTATTTTTTTAAGTTCAACATATTAACACTATATTATAGAGATGGAGGATGATTGCAAACAGAGGGAGGATAATTTTTTTATCCCACCCTCAACACTTTAAACAATAAAACACTATCAAATATTTTATCAGGGTGCGAAGGGCTGGAGATAAACAAGTCTCTCAGGTTTTCTGTGTTATATTTCAGTTGTGAGACTAGAGAGATCTTCATTTCATCTTTTGATTTTGAGACTTCACTTGTAGGCCTGCTGAGGAGAAGACAACAATGCTGAAGGTACATTAGCTCACAGATACTTGACTCTGATGAATTTGGCAATTCATTTGAATACTTTTGTAAAACAAATATTTTTATGTTTACTCAAAATTATTTGGATGAGAATGAAAAGTAGAACATTTCAAGTAAAATTTAAACCTCTTTCTGACGAGACTAATTTGCTTGCCTTGCTAAGATAATAAAAAAAATATTTTTGTGCAATTGTAATAACAACAATAGCAATGCAAAACTGCAACATTTAAATGAAAAATTAAGTGCAAAAATGAACGACATTATCAACAATGTTATATTGTTTGCTGAATACATGATTATGAAAAACAATACACTGAAATGCATAGTTTATTGGGGTACATTTTAAATATTTCAGTTTTTCCCTTCAAACTTCACTTTTAATTTAATGTTACTTTCTGTCTTTTTAATATTTATTTATGAACTTTACCAGCAATTTCAGTAAAAAAATGTTTCTACACTATATTTTCTTTTCAGTGATAGTATACTGTAGTAAGTACAGCCTGAAGAGTTCACTTCAAATGAGTGAAATGAATTCACATATTCCATATAAGCTTACATAAAGTATATATGTTGCTGTTACAAATTCAGATGAAAATACTGCTACGTCTGTCTAAACCAGTTTCATTTCATTGTGTTTCACAGAAAGAGTTCATGCCGTACTGGAACCTCAGTGTCACAGTGCAGCGGGGAAAATTCAATCGGTCGTATGACCTTTGTGAGTCCATCAGCTCTCAAAAACCTTGTGACTTGTGGTGAAATAGTGATGAAAAATCCTTCAAATCAGGTGTTCTGGGTGTATTATGTGTTTGTTTGCCTTTGCTGACTTTGATTTACTGCATACTACATACTTCATATAACAAGTGCTTAGTGTAGCTCAGACTTTGCTCTCTCTCAGTGTCTAAATGTGACTGCTACGTCGTCTTAAAGTTACCCTCGGCCTGCGCTTGCTGCCATCGCACGAAGACAGTGAAAAACAGTAATGCACCAAATTGGAATGAAACATTTCATTTCAGAGTTCACAGTGGAGTCAAGGTGAGCAAATCAGCTTTGGACACTTGCAAGAAAACTCTTTTAGAGGGAAATTATTGCTTGCGTTTATTAATTAGGGTTTTCTTAACTAAAACATTTTGTTGTGAATGTGCCTTGCCCTTTCAATCTCAGCTGACAGCATTCTCCACCCACATTGTTCTTGAATAAAAAGTGATGAATGACATGCTGGTGACGCCAATAACAGTCAAATGCTGGTATAACAGCAAAGTAATTCTATACAAATAAGAAAAATTACTTAATCTATATCCCCAAAATATTCCCCCCAATGGCTTTATCAGAACTGCTGCCATGTATTATAAACCAGAATTCTAGAATGATTTTATTTAGTAGTTTTGCTTTTCTAAAGTAATTAATACTATATGAACTTGAGTAAAAATGCTTAGTTGTGATACATGTGATATGATGGGTTTGCAAAGCAGAATTTTGACATTATATTTGAATCCTCTAGTGTAGAGCTTTTGAGCTAAAATAAACTCACCACTTTGTTCTTGTCTCCTCAGAACATTCTGGAATTCCACATATTTGATGCTGACACGTTAACGAAAGATGACTACTTCTCCACCATCCTATTCGACATCAATAACCTCACACCTGGACAAAAGCAAACAAAATGCTTCATTACAGATGATAAGGTAGGTATATCATTTGATGATGAAGATCATTTTATTTTATTTTTACAAAGTCTTTGAAGTGGAAGTATTCTGTGTCCATTACTTTAAATCAGTGTATGAAAGAAAAGCATTACTAATAGATTTAGTCCCATCCGTCTTTTTGATTGTCATGCACTTTTTTCCAGAAAAAGAGTGAGCTGTGGGTGGAGTTTGAGGCGACTGTGAGGTGAATGAGAATGTTAACGATCGAAAACAATAATAGTGTCATTAACCACGTAGTAATTGTCTTCTTCCTCTTTATGAAAAAATCATCTCTATTACATCAGTCTGAACTAATCTGTCATTTTATCCATTCGTTTTCTTTTTCAAGCTCTGAGAAGCCTGAACCATACTTCTCTAATGGAGTGCTGATGGTAAGAACATTCTTATGACTTTATATTTTACACATACTTCAGCAGCGCATAAAACATAACAGCTTTGGAAATCATTGTTGAACTAAGTAGCACTCTGAATTTTCCTGCTAATTTTTAGGCAGGTCCATTCTGTGCACTGGATGTGAAGGTGGAAAAACGTCTACGGTCTAATGGTAAATAGAAGAACACTGGGTTATTTCTGGGTTTAGATCCGTACATCTCTACTTTTAACAAACCTCAATCGGATATTTAAATATATATGAGGCTGTATAATAGCCACTGAAAGCTTGCGAAAATTGTATTTGTATAATTAATTAGTATAATTAACAGTAAAATTCTACAATAAAAATAAAAGTTTTAGGTTTTATAAATATGACATTGTTCATTTTTATGGTGCTGCATTAAGAACAGTGCCAAAATGATGTGAAATTTTCCTCTGTTTACCTCAGTGGAGAAGGACATGATGTTAAAACTGCGAGGCGCTTATAAGGAAGACTGTTTGATCCCAAGCTCTGAGGAAAACCCCAGCTGCACACAGACCATTCGCTACTACATCAACCGAGACCTGGAGACTGAGTTTAGTCTCATCCCACCAAAAGTGTGTCATTGATTAAACTGGTGATTTCTTACCAAATCAATTTATCAAGCATGTCTATCACTAACAGAGAGTGTATAATGCTTGTTTATGTGTTTGCATGTTTGTTGTTTGTCCAGGCTGGGGAAGAAGTGGACGGGATAAATCCAAAGATTGCAGACATTCTGTCATCGGTCCCTATGAAACCATTACCAGACAAACAGCAGATTAAACTCACCATGCCCATTGGAAAGGTGGGTACTGGTAAACTCAATTGGAAGACGTATTTTTTCAATGTTTCAAAAAGAACAGCTAAATAACTGCAACTCTTTTAGGATGAAGTGGATCTGCAACTAAGCACAGAGGGCCGGTAAATAATTTGAATGGCTTATCTCTAATTAGTTTAGGAACAGTTTAAAGAAAGTGCTTTGGCATGTAATCCATAAACCAAACCTGAATGATTTTAACTGTGTAATTGATTATAGTTAAATGAGACAAAGCACTGTAAACCACCAACATTTCCTCAACTGGTTTCAATCTGATTCCTTTCATCTCTCAGAATAATCGTGTGTGTGTGTGTGTTTTGAAGCTCTGATGAAAAGTTGGATGTGCGTCTGGATTTTGATATTTCAATGGAAGAAAATAATTTTCTGGTCAAAAGACGGAAAGTCGTGTCACAAGCTCTTCAGAAAGCTTTGAATCTCAGCTCTGCACCTGAACCCAGCAAGGCAAGAAAACAAACACAAACTTGAGTATAAACACATTCAACAGACACACACTTCCTATTGTTCCCATCAATTTTAATTTAATTTATATAATAATTGTAATTTAATTAATTCATGTATTTCTTTATTAATCATTTAATTTATGCATCACAGATATATGCTATTTTCTTTGAATGTGCGAGAATTCCAATACATTAGGTAAAAAAAATAACAAAAGCGCAAGAAACGGCAAAACTATTTGCTATACAAATAGTTTATAATTACAACAATACATTAAAATAAGAAATACCAGTTTGCAATATCAACCAATTTAACGGGTTGTACAGCTAAAAATAACTGGAAGCAGACAACACTAGAAGCTTATATATATATTTATAAGACTGATGTGACTGTTCAGGTCCCATTGGTGGCTGTTGTGTGTTCTGGCGGCGGGACCAGAGCAATGACTGGCACATTCGGAGGCCTAAGAGCTCTTCAGAAACTCCAGCTTCTTGATACAGTCAGCTACATCACAGGGATTTCTGGCTCCACCTGGTGAGTATAAGGAGCACTACAGGCCCGTCCAACTCTAAAATAGTGGTTCTCAGTTGGTTTTGCTTCAAAACTCAAATTTTATTGGAGATCATGTCATTAAACATCAAACTTTCTTTCATTGTCTCATAGGACTATGGCTTCTCTTTATGGTGATGCTAACTGGTCAAACAATGACCTAAATGTGGTTTTGGAGTCTGTAAAAAAGGAGATTTCAAAAAGCGTGTTTAGTATATTTTCCATTGAGCAGCTACGGCACTACAAAAAGAAGATGGAAGAGAGAGAGAAAGAAGGACACCAAGTATCTCTTGTCGATATGTGGGGTCTGGCTATAGAATACCTCATCCAAGGGAAGGTACTAAACACCCTTGATATCACAGAGGCAAAATACATTTTAAGCAAAAATAAATGCAAATACATTTCTCCATCAGAAACTTCAGAAATTATTTTCTTCCTCAGAAAGAAATGGGTACACTATCTGACCAGCAGATGGCACTATCAAAGGGCCAGAACCCTTTTCCCATCTACACAGCTCTCAACATGAAGAATGGCAAGACAGGATGTACCATAGAGACTGGTAAGAATGGATTTTAATTTACTTTGGCTGGTTTAATTTGCTTGATGCTTCCTGTCCTACAACATAAGGGTCCATTATGTTTAATAAGTTAATTATGCTTATTCCTTAACAGATCAATTCTTTGTATTAAGAGCAATTAGAAGTATTTACTGTAGATATGTTGTCCATCTTTCTCTTTGTTCTTTTCTCATTCAGAATGGTGTGAGTTCACCCCATATGAGGTTGGATTTACCAAATATGGTGCCTTCATACCTGCACAGAACTTTGGGAGTGAATATTACCTCGGCCACATGATCAAAAAACTCCCTGAATCTGGAATTTACTCTCTATTGGGTAAATAAGTGTAAATATTCTAAAGGTTGATGAATGAATTTTAAGTTATAGATAATGACTGGCAGTTGTATTCATATTGTTCAAAATGTGTTGTGTTTGCAGGGATATGGAGCAGTGTTTTCTCTCTGAGTCTGACTCAGCTTTGGAGTGCTGTCACTGGAGTGATTCCATCCTGGGCCAGCAAAGTTGGGGAAGAAGTGAATCAGACAGGTAAAAAGAAGGCAGGGACAATGAGTAAGACCACCTGAGCAAATAATCCCTGTGCAGCTTCTCAAAAGTTTGGTTGCCCTTGAGTACCCTTGTGAAGAAGCAGTATGCTAAATTGTTCTGAATATGCACTAGCAGTGTGGTTTAGATGAAAAAAAAAAATCTATACTTGCAGATAACATAACATTAAAGGGGTCATATGTTGTTGCTAAAAATAACATTATTTAGTGTATTTGGTGTAATGAAATGTGTTTATGCGGTTTAAAGTAAAAAAAAAACACATTATTTTCCACATACTGTACATTATTGTTTCTCCTCTATGCCCCGCCTTTCTGAAACGCGTCGATTTTTACAAAGCTCATCGGTCTGAAAAGCGAGGTGTGCTCTGATTGGCCAGCTATCCAGTGCGTTGTGATTGGCCGAATACCTCAAGCGTGTGACGGAAATGTTAACGCCCCTTACCATACTGTGATGCCCTGTCCGGCCAGAGACGAGACAAAAACATGAAAACCCATTACAAACGAGGCATTTGTTGCATCCAGTGGGGACATAATTATGGATTATAATGACTTATACTGTCTTTTTACGCGTTGTGTTGCATTGCGCCGCGTAAACATAAAACCATGTCTGCATTTGTGATCGGAGAAATGACAAACAAGCGCTACTCTACACTGCTCAAAACTCTTTTTGAGTTTGAATCATCAGCGGCCCTTTCACAACGAAACACACGGCGGGCTAGAGTGAGCGGAGGCTGGGGGCTGAAAGCCGATCCGGCGATCCACAGCGCGAAGTTGATGTATTCCCTCAGTGACCAGCATGGATCAGCTCTAGGCATGACGAAGCGGATATCGTCCTCTTTTGGAAGGCCAAACAAAGTAGTTTCACTTTCACAACGAAACACAGCGTCTTCACGACATGGCGGCAGCAACAATACTACAGCAAGAATAAAAGTTACGCCTTCTTTCTTTGCGTGAACATTTGGGCGGGGTTATGCAAATCTTCCCACATCGTGACGTAGACATGTGGGGGCGTGTTAGAACGAGCCGTTTTAGGTAGGCGTGGTTGACTCTTAACTTTTATAAAGAATATCTCTTTGGATTTGAGACTTTAGTCTTTGCAACTTTACAGATCTTCTTTATGCACCAAGAGCTTGTAACACTCCAAAGAGAAAGGAAAAATTGAAATCGCATCATATGACCCCTTTAATGAAATAAAAGTCCACTTAAGTGTACTTAAAGCGAGTACACTTTAATTACTTTTTTACTTAATTTGTAATGATCTCAAATTAAATGTTTTACATTTTAAAACATGTTTTATTCTTTTGTCGTGCTTTAAATAAGTACAACTGTTCTGATGTGTTGACTAACAAGCACATGTAAAGTACTTGATTATTTTAAATGTGGTGTGTTATTTGATATTACATTTAATATAATTTAAATGTACTAAATTTTAACTTAATCCATACAATGCATTTGGCATTACACTTTAACCATATTTCAAAGACAGTAGAAATAAATTAAATAAATAAATAATAAAACATGCAATCAAGTGTCTAAAACAACTCTAAGATTGTAATCAGCAAGTTAAAGTTTTTCCTGAACATTTTTGGTCACACTTTATTTTCTCCATTAATAAACCATTAGCTATGATTTTGCCTCAATAAACTCCTAATTAGCTGCTTATTAATAGTTAGTAAGGTAGTTGTTAGGTTTAGGTATTGGGTAGGATTAGGGATGTAGAATATAGTCATGAAGAATATGTGCTTTATTAGTACTAACAAACAGCCAATATGTTAATAATAGACATGCTAATAAGCAACTAGTTAATAGTGAGATTTGGTCCCTATACTAAAGTGCTACCACATTTTTTCCCCCCAAAAAGTAAATTAATTAAAAAGTAATTACCAGCTGTGATGGCTGTGATTACAATATTGTGATGGCAAATATTCTGTTTTATGTTTGAATTTGTACTTTTCCACGACATTCTAATTTATTGAGATGCACCTATATATGCAAACAATGAAAAATTTTTATCCTCCCTTATCTGTAGACAAAGATGACAAACCATCAACGTCGGACACACTTCAGGTCAGCCCTATGACTAATTTGGCAAAAAAGCTGAGCAACTTTCTGACCAGCCGCCCCATTATCAGTCAAGTATTCAACTTCCTTAGAGGCTTCCACCTGCACAGGAACTACAGTGAGAACTGTGACTTCACCACATGGAAAGGTCAGAACATCATTTATGTTGTCGAGTACAGCCTAATTAGTGCGATTCCCCTTTTGATTCAGTTTGATCAAACTTGGAAATGGTAAATTATAAAGTGGACTTTCTGCAGACACACATCCAGACGCCTTCCCAAACTCCCTGACACCAGCAGACGCCACACTTGGCCTAGTGGACACTGCTTTTGTCCTGAAGTCAGGATTCCCTCCTGTGTTACGCTCTAACAGACGCGCAGACGTCATTCTGTCTCTGAACTACGCTTGGGACCCGGACCACTTCAAGGTGAGGGAGACCACAAAGACATGGCAGATTATGAGGAGAATGGGATGAAATGTAATTTTGTTTTTTCTGTATTTGTCTATAGGTCATAAAGCAAACTCAGGAGTACTGCACTGATCGCAAGATTCCATTTCCAAAGATTGACTACAAAACGTTGGAGTCCGAGCCGATTAGGGAAATTTATGTGTTTGAAGATAAAGAGAATCCAGATGCTCCCATAGTGATTCACTTTCCCTTGGTCAATATCTCATTCAAGCAGTTCAAGTCTCCTGGTGAGTGTTATTAAAGGGATAGTTCACCCCAAAATTTAAATTCTAGCATCATCTACTCACCAAAAAGTAGATAATTTGAAAAATATTCTAACTGCTTTGTCCATGCAATTATAGTCAAGTAGATCCCTATTGACTTTCATTGTATGAACAAAAAACACTGAGGCACTTTCATCTTCTGTGATCTGCAGAAGAAAGAAAGTCATACAGATTTTGAATGACATAATAAGTGTGGATGAATGATGGCAAATGATTTTCATTTTTGGTTGAACTATTCCTTTAAGAATCTTAGATAGAGATTCAACCTTTGCATGAAGATAATAGATTACAAAGTGTATTTTTATGAACTAATTGTGTGTGTTTGTGTGGCAGGAGTGAAGAGAGAGGGTAAGGCAGAGATGAAGGAAGGAGATTTTGATATTGACTTCACTAGTATGTTCTGTCCATTCGCCACTCACAACCTTACGTATCACCCTGAGGATTTCCAGAAGCTGAGCAACCTCACCACCTACAACATTCTGAACAACAAAGATGTCATTTTAAGCACACTGAACAAAGCGCTTAAGAGAAACATGGAGAGAATTCCTGCTACAAAGGCGTCAAAATTCTGATTTGATATTGAGATGAGAAGTTAAAGCTGACAGCAGGAGCAACTGGAGAGTGATTTTTGTATATATTTGACTTCACCCAGAAATGTCATCATTCATCACCCTCATATTGTTCCAAAACTGTGTCATTTCCTTTTTTTCTGTAAATCAGAGAGGGTTAATGCAATAATCTATTCTTAACAATAAAAGTGAGGGTGACCAGGGACTGCCAAGCTCAAAACATGATATACAGCATCATAAAAAGTCCATTACAGTAGTCCAAATGATGCCATACTTGCCATTTTCCAAGTGTGGCATCATTGGTCATTTCATCATAGCAACTTTGATGCTCCTTATTTGCAAAAATACATCATATTTGAGAGCTATGAGAAGGTTTTCCGTAAATAATGGCACATCTTGTTCTTTTCCATACATATATTGCAACTTTCTTGGTGCTTTTTTGTCATTTTTGAAGTCACTTATGCTCACCAAAACTGCATTTATTTGATCAAAATACAATTTAAATTAAAATAATATTCTTCTACATTAACATATTTAATATATAACAATAATTTTATCATATTATTAAATTAACAAGTTTGCTATAATATACTAATCAATATTGGCTTCACATTATTTCTTTTTAAAAGTTGACAATCACTACTTTTTTAAAACAGCATCTTTGTTTCTGTCCATTTAACTTGTCACAATCATTTTTGTCATTTCAACTTGCTGTTCTTCATCAGTAACTAAATTAAAAGTGTTCAAAAAAGTGCAATAAACTTGGTTTTTGTAACTTTGTTGGTTGTAATGTTGGCACTAGTTTTTTTTTATTTTTATGTTTAGGCAGCAATTTTTAACAACAAAAACAGTATTAGTAGGTTAAGACCACTGCTTTGGCATTTATTTGCAGACATCACTAGTGTGCAAAATTATTTCTGATTAGCTAATTAAGCACAGACTTTGTATTCCAATACATGGCAGTCTCTTCTGGCCAATATGACTCATTTAAATTGAGAGACGATAATGCACCCTTTTTTTTGCTGTGTTTCTCTGTGATCAGGTAGTAGACACACATATTATGAGTGGTGTTCCACACATAAAATATATAGCAGGTAATTCGGGCCAATGTGACTCATTTACTTAAACTGAAGCTTATTCCCTATTGTTCCCCTATAGAGTGTCCTTGGGGTGTGCCATATCTATGCACTTCACGTCTATGACATAACTAGTTTCAGTATAGCACTCTAAAATCTTCCCTGGATTAAAAGCAGGCTTTGCAAGGGCATGAACAAATCGACTATACAAACAAACCACACTACTGAAAACATTCTTGAGAGCATTCTTGTGGAGTTTAATGATAGGGAGTTGAATGATCTCGAAATCCAAAGAAGATTTTAGAAGTTTCTCCGCCGAAAACACACACACACGCACGCACGCACGCACACACACACACACATATAATAACATCAATATATTAATATAGAGATGGAGGATGATTGCAAACAGAGGGAGGAGAATTTTTGATTCCACCCTAAACACTTTAAACACAAAACACCATCAAATATTTTATCAGGGTGCAAAGGGCTGGAGATAAACAAGTCTCTCAGGCTTTCTGTATCATATTTCACTTTGACTAGTGAGATCTTCTTTTTATCTTTTTGAGATTTCACTGTAGGCCTGCTGAGGAGAAAACAACAATGCTGAAGGTACCTTAGCTCACAGATACTTGACTATTAACCTACTTGTTTTGTAGCATTGCTATTTTAGTTTAAAACCACAAATAGCAGCTTTGTGAACAAGCCTTAGGAGCTTGATCAAGGATCCGTTATGACAGGGATTCCCAATCAGGATTCAGGAAAGCAAGTTCTTGGGTAATAAATCTTTCTCTTTTTTGTACTTAATGTGTTAACCTATTGAGCTCCTTTTTGGAAAGAAGAAAATAGTTGCGTTTGGCAATTTATTTGGACACTTTATAAAACAGATAATTTTTTTAGTTTAATTTCTGAATCAATTTGAGAATTTGTGATTTAAAAAAGCAAGAGCAAAACACTTTAAGTTAAATTTAACACTTTTTTTTCTTATGTTAATGAATGCAATTTATATGAAAAACAATACAGTGAAATATATCAAATCAATTTATTTAGTTATTTTCAAAGATGTTTACATTTTAGTATAGCCTGGAGAGTTCACTTGAATTCACATGTTCCATGCCAATTTACATCTTCACATGTTGCTGTTACAAATTCAGATGAAAATACTGCTACGTCTGTCTAAACCAGTTTAATTTCATTGTGTTTCACAGAAAGAGTTCATGCCGTACTGGAACCTTAGATGAAGTCTGTAGTATGCAGTAAATCAAATTCAGCAAAGGCACACAAACACATAATACTGCCATCGCACCAAGACTGTGAAAAACAGTAATGCACCAAAAAGGAATGAAACGTTTCATTTCAGAGTTCACAGTGGAGTCAAGGTGAGCAAATCTGCTCAGACAGTTGCGAGAAAACTCTGACACTCGTTCCCTCTCAGGGAACCATGGTTACATAAGTAACCCGAGACGTTTTCATGACTGAAAGGTTTTGTTGCCACTGTGCCTTGCCCTTTCAATCTCAGCTGACAGCATGAAGTGATTCTCCACCCACATTGTTCTTGAATAACAAGTGATGAACGACATGCTGGTGATGTCACTAACAGTGAAATGCTGGAATAACAGCAAAGTAATTCTATACGAGTAATTAGTATAATTATGTAATCTAACTTTGATCCCCAAAATATCCCAAGAAACTTGCTAAATTGTCGGCCAATGGCTAAATTTGTTCCATTGCCCTGGTAAAAAGTAATGAATGAATAGAATAATGACACTTCATTGTACCCAGTTTTTAAAAATAGCTTATTACTGCATTCACAGTGCAGTAATTCGCTGATTGTTAACAGTTTAACAGAAGTTATGCACATAATTCATGCAAAGCATAGGGCATAGGAAAAAGGTGGAGATGGTCAAAATTCTATTTTGCAAACCAGTGTATAGAGAAAGTGAGAGCTTTTGAGCTAAAATAAACTCGCCACTTTGTTCTCGTCTCCTCAGAACATTCTGGAATTCCACATATTTGATGCTGACAAGTTAACGAAAGATGACTACTTCTCCACCATCCTATTCGACATCAATAACCTCACACCTGGACAAAAGCAAACAAAATGCTTCATTTTAGATGATCAGGTAGAAGGTCAAGCATTACAAATGTTGACTGGTGTGATCCTATCCATCAGTCTGATTATGATGTACTTATTTTCCAGAAAAAGAGTGAGCTGTGGGTGGAGTTTAAAATAACCTGAGGTGAGTGAAAATATTATCAATTGAAAACAATAATGGTGGTGTTATTAACCATGTAGTGCACATTATTTAGTAATTGTCCTCTTCCTCCTTATTAAAAAAAATCATCACCATTACATCAGTTTGAACTAATCTGTCACTTTATCCATTCCTTTTCTTTTTCAAGCTCTGAGAATCCTGAACCATACTCCTCTAATGGACTGCTGATGGTAAGAGTTTTGATACATTAAAAAGAACAGATTACAAAGGATTGTGGTATTTTATTGATATTCATCTAACATTATATTTCAGTATAAGCTACTGCAAGCTATATGCAGCTAAACCTACTTACACGTATTAAAATAATTAATAGATGTACATATTTTCTTAAGTAAAAACTTGTATATGCTTCTTTCATTTGATAAATCTCACAACATTTGTATGACTGTACAGTATATTTTACACATACAGTGTTAGAATCTTTAGCAGGGCAAGTTCAGGTTTCCATGAAAAAAAAACTGACTTGGAAATATTTGTTAAACAAACACAAAAAAACACTCCATTTTCAGTGAGCGATGACTGGCACATTTGGAGGCCTAAGTGCTCTGCATCACAGGGGTTTCTGGCTCCACCTGGTGAGTATAAGGAGCACTACAGGCCTGTCTATTTCTAAATCAGTGCTTCATCAGGCTTTGCTTCAAAACCAAAACCCAGATTTTATTAGAGATCATGTCATTAAACATCAGCCTTTCATCATTGTCTCATAGGACTATGGCTTCTCTTTATGATGAGGAGACCACAAAGACATAGCAGATTATGAGGAGAATGATCTTGAAGAAAATAAGATTCTGTTGTTTCTGTGTGTGTCTATAGGTCATAAAGCAAACTCAGGAGTACTGTGCTGATCGCAAGATTTCATTTCCAAAGATCGATTATAAAAAGTTGGAGTCTGAGCCGATTTGGGAAGTTTATGTGTTTGAAGATAAAGAGAATCCAGATGTTCCCATAGTGCTTCACTTTCCCTTGTTCAATGTCTCATTTAGGCAGTTCAAGTCTCCTGGTGAGTACCGCCAACTGTAACCTTAACTATTACCATAATTTTTAGCAGTAGTTCACTCAAAAATGGACATTCTACCATCATTTAGATAATTTGAATAATGTTTCATCTGTTTTTGTCCATGCAATTATTGTCAGTGGAATCCCAAACATAATTGGACCCCACTGATTTTCATCATATGAACAAAAAAGGCATTCAGTTAATTCATAATTGCACTTGAGTCTGGCATAGAATACCACAACTCTATCAATTAAATTTTTTATATCAACTAAAAGCAGTTGTGTTTGTTTGTGTGGCAGGAGTGAAGAGAGAGGGTAAGGCAGAGATGAAGGAAGGAGATTTTGATATTGACTTCACTAGTATGTTCTGTCCATTCTTCACTCTCAACCTTACATACAAACCTGAGGATTTCCAGAAGCTGAGCAACCTCACCACCTACAACATTCTGAACAACAAAGATGTCATTTTAAACACACTGAACAAAGCGCTGAGGAGAAACATGGAGAGAATTCCTGCTACAAAGGCATGAAAATTCTGATTTGATGTTGACAACGGAAGTTAAGGCTGACAGCAGGAGCAACTGGAGAGTGATTTAAAGGGATAGTTCACCCAAAAATGTCATCATTCATCACCCTTATATTGTTCCAAAACTATGTGATTTTCCTTGTTTTTGTAGATCAGAGGGTGTTATAATAATCTATTTTTAACAATGAAAGCATCATAAAAAGTCCATTACAGTAGTCCAAATAATGCCACACATGCCATTTTCCAAGTGTTCTGAAGTCATGATAGCTTTGTCTAAAGGACAGCCCAAAATTTAAATTCACAAAAGTATTCACCAAAATCCTTCTCCCTATGGTAATCTTGATGTACCTTATTTGAATAAACACAAAGGTAAATAATATTTGAGAGCTGTGGCAGGTTTCTTTTTTTAAAATAAATAAATGCTGGCACATCTTGTTCTTTTCTCACATATATAACAACTTTTTGGGTGTTTTTTCCCATAAATTTTGGAGCTTGAAACTCATTGGTCACC